GGGCCAAGGGGAAAGCGCGGTGTTTCGAGATTACACGAGTGACAACAGAATCCATTGAACACACCAGACTTCATCGACCCATAAAAGTAGGCGTCCAACAGCCCCGGTTGAAACACTGTGATTTTGCAATTCGGCGAACAAGTCGGGAAAAATTCACGAGAAACCAAGCTTCCAAAATCAGCGGAATGTGCTTAGGGTCGTCCAAGCGAGGGATACGACCTCCCGCAGATTTTTGAAAAGGCTATCGACTAGTCGCAGTCGAATTTGTCAGCAATTTTTCAAAATAGAGGACACATTCTTCACTGACTTTGCCAAGGAGTTGGAGCACGCGAACGCATTGCTCTGCAAATGAATTCCAGCTCTCTCTGCTCGTGAATAAATCCTTAGAAGCGTAGGCATAGTTTTCTTTTTCACTCTGTAGCATGTCTTACGCGTTTCCTTTTATTGAAAGCAGAGGCCGAGGAAAGGCGACAATTTTCAGCCCGAGCATATCTTATATAGACAGCTCGGTTTCTTTCCCCCCTGCTCGAAAACAAAATTCCTTGGCAACACGGACAAGTTGGCAAAGGAATAGCTAAACGGGAAGGTCACGTGATCCACCGTTCCATCTCATCCGAAAGAAGAAAAGAAGAAAATCGGAAAACTGCATGCCATTCGAGTTGCTATATATAGGGAATTCCGTAGACGCCCTTTCCGTTGGCGAAATTGGCGCTGATATTCTCGGCTGATATCAGTGGGATGCCATGGGACGTTTTTACACCCGAGGACGTCTAAATCGGTGGCTGAACCGGTGCCAGGTAAAACGCACGACACCTCGGTGCCAAAATATTTCATAACAGCCTCCACGCTACTCGTATTTGGGCATAGGAGGGGAGGGGTGGGAAGGGGGGAAAAAAGGATTTCCAATCACCGGGCGTCTTTTCGTGAGGCTCCCTCAATCTGAAGAATGGTATGGATTGGGGGATGTCCTTGACATTGCAGTGGAGGTTGACCTTGAATGGAATGGCCCTCCCTCCCTCCTTCCTTCCTCCTCTTCCTCCCCCTCCTCCCTCAGCCATCGATTTCCCATTCCTCCTCCTCCTCCTCACCATCCTCCCCCTCCTCCTGCCTCGGTCACCACACCATATGGCGGCTCTATACCTCCTTCACACCCAAGTACTAGGGTGAACAATAAGACCGATCCCGGTACTTCTCTTATGCATGAATTCGGGATCTCCTCATTCACAAAAAAGCCAGTAAAGGAGGAAAGCGGAGCTCGTTCATCACTGTTCTCTGACAGGAGAATTCATTCGCCATGATGGATAATACAACCAGCATTCCTTGCATTTATCCTGCTCTTTTCTTCGATATAAGTTTCAGCCCCCATGGGACGATTCTTCGAATTCACGATATTTCTTACCTCGGGACTAACTCAGGCAATGAGAGTCGAAGACTTCCTTCGACTCTCATTTATCGTGCCGCCAGGATCCTGTTTCCCACTCTCCTGCTCTTCTCTTCCACCCAGTGAAGGAATAAAATGAATATTTTCCTTCACGTATAATGAATGTCGGGGGTGGCAGACGCAGATCCCGATCCGCCCCCGCATTTCCTCGTCCCACGTCCGGTTGCCATGGCAACACCAGTGGGCGGAACACGTGCTTCCGAATCCCCTCGAGGAAGCGAGGAAATTGCCTTCCAGAAAATCCTCATCCATGATAAGGAGAAACTCCTTTTCTCCGAGAAACAGAAACATCAGTCTTAACTCGATCACGTTGCGTATATGACTGGAGTTAGAATCTAATTTGACCTTCCTTGACCCGGGAAAACAAGGGCTCGGAAAGAAAATACTTTTGTGAAGAGGGGATCGTTAGGAGACCCCCAGATCCCATTATATCGGGAGGTCATCAATAAGTGGGAGTAGAAGTGTGGGATCCCAGCAAACTATGTGGACTCGACGCTATCACATCGGAGGTTTATTAATCTTGGCTCCTTACCAGCAATATCACGATCGGAGGAGGGGCACGTGTAGATGGGCCAACAACACATCAAACAACGCTTTTCTGCTCTCTCATCTGGGGCTATCGTTGGTTTGGATCGTCTTTCGAGGTTCATTTTTTTTTTGGTCTTACTGGGAGCATGATCTGCATTATGAAGCAGGCAGGTCGAGGCATACAAAAAAAAAGAAAGTTCCTTGGGGCAGACTTTGTATTCTTGTTCGGAATCATTCCGACCTAAATTCCCGTCATACGAGGGGGGGGGGCATTATTATATATCAACAATATAACTTTAAGGAATGAATATGAATAAATAGAAATGGGACAAATAAATATTACTTTGAACGAAATCGGATGAACCTCAAAGTGAAACGAGACAGGCCGCGAAAGTCGAACCGAGAGTAAGTGGAGAAGCGAAAGAGAAACCAAATGATTGGCGGAAAATGGCGTAGTATAGCTGCCTCGGTTGGAAGTGAATCGGGAATGGAGGACGGAACGTGAGGCTGCAAAAGACGACACGGTCGCCGGATGACGAGGCGGCCGTGACTTGCCTTTTCAACTAACCTGAAGGTCCCTTTAAAAAAAAAAAAAAAGGGAATGTCTCAAGGTACTGTCTCCCTTATCTGCTATCCCTGGAATATCTCACATGCAACAGAAGATTACGTGGCAGGAGTCCCAGCTCGATGAGCTTTTTCCATCTCCTTCCAGAAGGCACACGTCCCGCTTCAGTCTACCATATAGCCTCGGCAGATCCCATGTCTCTCTTTTTCTAAGCGGTAGATTCCGCGCACCCTTGACACCGTTCAGTTGCTTATCCGTGGCGGATGCAATCGCGGAAAAACATCTTCATGTCTCAAGGTACTGTCTCCCTTATCTGCTATCCCTGGAATATCTCACATGCAACAGAAGATTACGTGGCAGGAGTCCCAGCTCGATGAGCTTTTTCCATCTCCTTCCAGAAGGCACACGTTTTTTCCGGCACCGAACACGAAAAATCTGGACACGGGGAAGTCGCACGTCGTCTCGGGAGTGAAACCCGGACCGTAGTGCGGCTCCTTTCCCCGTTCCTCTGCATAACCCTGCCATTTTGTTTATTGTTACGACGCTATCTTTGGACGGTTCCCCTGTTCTCGCAAGATCGGCATGACGTCAGGGAAGAAATTTGAAAAATATCCTGGGGAAAGCAGTTGCTTCCCGAGAGAATCGATGGAGAGGATGAAAGATGCATTCTAGAATCCGCATCGAAGCTCCGTCCTCGTGCATTATTTTTAGCCCATCGTTCCGTGTTTCCCCTGTTTTGACAGACGAGGGAGGGAGGGTCTGTCTCTCTCTCTCTCTCCTCGGAACACGTTCGCCGTGCCAACCGAATGAAACAGGTCCTTTTCTGCAGCTGATATGCAGACGAGCCACAGCTGGGGACCCAGGTGGGATCTTCCCAGGAAGATCTTTCCTTGCCCACTAAAAGAATTGCGACACACGGGGGAGAAAAAGAACAAAGTTGGAATCCCTTGGCGTTGTTTTGACCACCTGAGTCACGGAAGGGTGACTTCGAGGTCACCTCAAAGTTACAGGGACTCTCCTTTATCCGATGACGCGACCATTGATTTTCCTCCTCTTTTGAGTCCGTTGCGGAGTTGGAATGTAGTTCGGCTTCCATATTCCTCGCTGCAAGTCATTTTAAGGGGAAAATTCCATCTGTCTGGGAGATGAGGTGCAAGGAACGCTAAGTGACTTTTTCCCTCCATAAAATCCTCTTGCATCTCCCGTATCAAGAAGAAAATTATTTGAGAAAATTAGCTGAAATATACAAATATACTAAAATAGACAAAGTACTCTCAAAATGTTCAACTCAACCATGGTATGATTTACATTATAGATTTGTTTCCACCATTTTACACAATTTTGCTTCAAAGTTCGGTCGAGTCAGTATTTTCCTCCTCTGATTCTGTTTTCCTTACTTTGTTTTCAAACGGTTCGAATTTCATTTTATTCGTGTTGCTTTCCGTCCTGGCAATACTCAACAGGAGACGCCTCTTGCGCACGAACGAAAAGTGCGTCAAACGATACAACTTGTTTGCTCGGGTGACAAGGGGTGGCATTTAAAAGCAGGTAGTATATCCACGAGAGCAGGGGAGGAGTCACGCCCCCTCTTGACGTCACGACGATGCATTGCATCGCGTTGCTGTCACTCACACGCAGTCAGCCAGTCACTCCGACTCCAACCAGCAGAGAACGTTCGCTCGTGCCTGTGTAGTGTCCTGGCTCGCGCTGTGTCCTCGCCTGTGCTTCCATTCCTTCCTCCGTTCTCCCCTTACAGTCCCTCGAGTCTCGATACGAGTCGCGTCGTAGTGTCCGGGACTCGGGTCCGCGTGGTCAATGAAGGCTGTCGGGTCCTCGCCCCCCTTTTTTTCTTCTCTTTGGTGTCTCGTTCCAGTGCGACATACGACGCATCTTATGAGCCCACAGGATAAATTAATTTGGTTCCGTCTCCTTGGGCTCCCATCTGGGCATGCGTCGATTTATTCTTACGCAGGAGCCACTCGAGTCGAAACTTGAAAAATTGCTCCCGTTACATGGTTTAATTTTGTATAACATCATATCTAGCTCGGCCGTAACTATCCTGAACTCCAATTCGAGTCTGGTTCGAATAAACCCTATACCTAGGAAACTATGTATAGTGAGCCCCCTTTTTCGTGTTCTTCAGGTTAGGAATTCCACTTCTCTCCCGCATGGCATGACTCGATATGCCCGTTGGAATCACGTGCCAAAGATAAGGGGGGGAAGAGAGCGCTACTTTGCGTGTCCCTCGGTACACATCACCAGATATATGGCTCGGCTCGTGTCCTTCCAACTCCAATCCCTCCTTTCCCCCCCTTTCCCAAGAGACTCTTTGATTATTCACGAAGCCGACGAGATTCTCTTGACCTCAAAACTGACTTAATGAGCCATCTATCCCCTTTCTCCTCTGTTTCAGATCAGTACAACACAACCCCGGAAGGTGTTTCTTGTGATTTTCCTTCGGCAACGATGCATATCGAGGTCCAAGTGGCGCTGAACTTCGTCATCTCCTACCTGTACAACAAACTCCCGCGGAGACGGGTGAACATCTTCGGCGAGGAGTTGGAGAAGGCGCTGCGAGAGAAATTCCAGGGACATTGGTACCCGGAGAAGCCGTTCAAGGGCTCGGCGTACCGGTGTCTGAAAACGAGCGATCCCGTGGATCCCGTGCTGGAGAAGTCGGCGCGGGAGAGCGGCATGGATCTCGTGGACATCCGGGAGAATCTTCCCGGCGACATGTCCGTCTGGATCGATCCCGGTGAGGTGAGTTACCGAATCGGGGAAAAGGGTCAGATCAAGATCCTCTACTCGGAGAAAGAAGATCGAGACGGGGACGAGCGGCTGGACCGGGAAGTGACGAAAACCTTCAACCCGGAGGCCCAGTGCTTCAAACCCATCGACAGCCTCGGCCTCTCCAATTCCCTCAGCAGTCTCAGTCTTTCTCCGCCGCCACTTCCTACCCCGAACGGAGGAAGCACGGGGAATTTAGCAGCTCCCATCCCAAGTATCTCTGCTGGGGAATCCAGTCCCAGCCCCACGACATTCTTGCCTGTCATGAGCACGTCCCAGCTCACGTTCACGACGGCCACGTTCGCCCAGACGAAATTTGGGAGCACGAAGCTGAAGACGAACAGCAAGAGGCCGAATCGCATGAGCCCGACGGAGTTCTCACATTACATCAAGCAGCGGGCCATGTTGCAGCAACATCAACGAGGAAAGCAGACCCAGCTCCTCCAAGCGGGAGCGATGGGAAACGCAGGATGGCCGGGTTGCTTCAACCCTCCCCCACCCCAGCGACCTCGATCTCTGAGCCCGTTTGACCCGTATGTGCATGCGCAGCAGCGAGTCCCCTCCGATTTCAACGACGTCGTCGGTCAAGGGGATTTGAATTTCCCATCGGCCTCGTTGCATGGCATCTCGGTCAACGGCGATCGACAGCTCGTGGACAGCATCAATCTGGGCGTGAGCAACCTTGCCTTCGCATCCGGCAACAACGCACAACAATTTCAGCATCTTCTCATGGCCAATTAGATCATCTATCGAAGACAGGATTCCCCTTCTCTCATGATTATAGTCATCATGTATGAAAAACCCTCATCTTGGTAGTCATTGTGATTATTTGTTTCTCGAAACAGAACCACCATTTTATTCGATTCGATGGATAGAAAAGCGTACGATGAATAATTTTTCATGAATTGTCTGTGTTATCACGCTTTTTTTCAGTATCTGCTCGTGTTTGTGTGATGGGTCGCGGATTTTTCACTTTTTTATAGTTGTAGGAGGGGTTGCGTGTTTTTATTTACATTTTTTCTAGTTTTTTTTCACGGTTTTTTTTACGTTTATGGGAGAAAAAAAAAGAAGAAAATGGGCTGAATCTGGACGAGTTCTCGACGGTGCTTCATCTTGTTCGTCTCTTTCCTTCTCGAATGCGCGAAAGAAAATAATACCAGCAGGGGGAACGGTGCTTACATTATAAACTATATTGTGCTATTATATCTCGGCTCCATGGTACAATGTTGCAAGCGGGAACAGAGAGGTATAAAAGAAATTAGATGACCTTTATTTTTCCACGTTCTGTCGTTTCTTTTCTCGGTGCTGGGAGAAAAATGCCATCTATGTTTTTGGGTCTCGGAATTTCACCATTCGTTGCCCCCTCTCTCTTTCTCTCTCGTTTTCTCACGTCGTAATAGTACTCAATGTGACCGGGTTGACGAAAAAAAAAACCGGCCCCGATGGAAGATAACCCAGTTCCATCACATCAAGTTCTAGTTGCGCCGAGCCCTTCACAGCCAACGAGTTCTAGTCGGCGAGAGAGAAGCAGAAGAGGGGAAAACCAAAAAAAAAATCACCGTGAATATTCCCATCGATGACACCCAGGAAATCGCCAGTTACTCGTCCCTCTCAGTATACCGTACCCATCTCTATTCGAGTACCTATGATGGATTCTAGGCCTAGTGACAAATTGCGGCGGTGATTTTTTCATTCGCTCCTGGTGATAGCTAGACGTGATCCAGACTTCGTGTGCGAGAGGGGGAGACATTTCTTTTCTAAGTGGCTCCCTCAGGTGCAGTGCACCCAGAGGGAGTCTATTTTTTTTTACACACGATATTCCATTGGCAGTGTCCAGGCGAGTCCTACCGCTGCGAAATCACGAGGAAATTTTACATCTGAAACCTTCCATGCTTTTCTGATGGGCGGATGGAAGCGCGGATCTCTCCTTCTCGCACCGGTCTCATTATTGATTCCACGTTTGTTTGTTGGTTGTTGTAAATAGCTGAGAGAAATATTGGACGAGGCATCGATGTCCACGATGCGACTGATCCCACAAAAAAATCCCGAGTCCCTAATTTGATGGATGTGTCTCCTCCGGACATATTGTTCGTCCCTTCTAGGTGTGCTGAGACCCGTTCACTTTATCATGTCATTCGGGCAATTCCAACAAAATAAGTGTTGTGCACCCATGCCAAAGACCAACTTCTCTTGGCTCTTCCCCCCCATTTTTTTTCATTTATGGTCCTCGTTATCGGAGTTCTACTTTTTCGTGCGTGGCAAATCCGCTTTCCATTCTCTTCTGATATGGCTCTATCCATAATCCATCCTCCATCCACCCCCCCCCCCCCCCCCCCCCCCCCCCCCCCATGAGATATTCTCTGGATATTCTATAGTGCGACGACGCCGTTATGGTATCTCTCCTTTTTGTACAATGCATGATTGTATCTTTTTCACCGCGGTTTTAATAATCGTAACTTATTAATTTTTTACAGCGTTGTGCAATACATGGAATTTTAGCATCAGAACCCCTCTTTCCTTTCTCCCTATCGACCCGAACATCCTCGACCGGAGGAGAGAAGATGAAGTGTCAGTACCAAGTGCCAAGTGTCGGTGACAAACGACCATGGCATCAACTCTGAAAACACCATGATCCAAGTCTTCCTTTTTCCGTGTCTCTCGTGGCAAGCGTGACGCAAAGAAGCATAACGTGACATCATGACGCATGACGGATCCACAAGACGACAGAGAGGATCTCTGCGGCCTTATTTTACCTTCCAGTAATCAAGGCTCCTTAATTAAGATCATCTCCGTCACGACATCAGGTCCTATTACCAGGTTTGAAAGACCGATTGCGATCGTGTATCTAATGAATAATTGAGTCTTCGATGGGCGCTCGCCCGACCGATAATAGGGGACGCAATGCTAAGTCCTCAACAGTAGGCGTGGTGCACCGATCGGCCTCGTTTTCCCTATCCCCTGCCCTGGCAGGATTGCCTGGAAACGTCCTCCACGCACTTTCAACCAGTCTCGACGGTGTGCAATGGGATTGCTCTACGGTCGTTCTCGACCGCCGTGTCGACGGGTATTTATCGATAACCTCGCCTTTATCTTCGTGCCAGCTGTCGTATCTCTCTTCATAGGGACTACATTCAATTATTTGTCCATGATAAAGAGACCATCCTTGAATAGACGAAACCGAATGCGTTTCCACGAAAAACTTGAGGAGTCCGCAGACGAGTATTGGCCTTTTTTCCTATTCATTATTCGACTCGTCCGATCGGTTTCGAATCGGAGGCAACTGTGAACCCCAATGAAGTTCCGCGAAGGCTTCATGCTTCTCGATTCAATGGGAACTCTGGTGCCTCACGTTCCAGGCTTGTCCCCGATCCCTAAGAAGGAATAGGAGAAAACTGGAGGGCTTCCAAAATTCCAAACCGAATCCCTCAGGGCAAGGGTACCCAAAGTACACCCTGCGGTCCGGACCAGTCGTCACATAACGTTTCGCAATCGAAATAAAATGCATACAGGATTGTACTCTCAAGTGTCTCGTTTTTATTGCGCTTCTCAAAATCTAAACATTTATTTTTGGGGTTATCCGACTCGCATCGTTCTTTTCACTTCCAAGGCCGCTCTGAATCTTTCGACACCACTGCCTCAAAGGGGTCACGATATGGATTGATTATTAGCCGTAGGCGAATGTCGCACTGACATCGGAGTCGGTCTTTCTCCATTATTCCCATGTCATCCTCGTGCTGGTTCCATTCGCCTGAAATCCAGCTCAGGGAAGACTTAATGTAAAGTCGGCATGAAAAAGCGTTTCCGAGGACGATCTAGTGGACGAGGCCTTCTCAATAGAGATTCTAGTGGGGACAGAGCGTGAACTACCAGTCCCCCTTTCTCCTTCGCGCCGGTTGATTATTCGGGGATGCGTGCATGTCTGTCTTTGAGAAGAAGTAGAACGACGCAGGGAGTCCATTAATTACGGTCGATTGATCCCGCTCCAAGGTAGGTGGACGGGTGGGGAGGAGTTATGGGAACAAATACCTGCACACCCTCCTGGGATAAAAAGATCAAAGGTCAAAATTCGTCGGCACAATACCTGTGACCTTTAGCGTCCCGAATTCAATCAATTTCCCGGAATGGGACCAGAAAGTGGCAAGAAGGGGGGGGGGGGGGGGGAAAACCAAGGAAAGAGAAAGACACAGGGATGGAGGATGGATTATGGATAGAGCCATATCAGAAGAGAATGGAAAGCGGATTTGCCACGCACGAAAAAGTAGAACTCCGATAACGAGGACCATAAATGAAAAAAAAGGAAGCACATCTTTACACTCCACCTCACGGAACCGGTCTCAAACTCGTACTCTGGGTCACGGTCGAGGCTTTTTCTGTCTCTATTTCTTTTGTTTCTTTTTTTTTTTTTTTTTTTTACTCCTCCCGAACTACGTGAGGCTGAGAAGGCAATTGAGCAGAAATCCTCTGAACAATCATCGGCAGGTATAACGAAGGGAAGAAGTCTGTGAACCGGAAACCAGTGGGTCCCTACTCTTCCTCACTCCATTCATCATGAACAAACGAGGAAAATGAAGAGAAACTAAAGTTTTCGTTTTTCTCCTCTAGGGCTTTCTCTGCTCATGACGATGTGAATATTCATATGCATAAAAATAGCACGAAATAAGGAGAAAGCTGATAGATTCACCTGTGCAGATGTTTTTCATGAAGGAGATCCTCTCATCCAGACTTTCAGCCTAGATTACCTACCCTTTCATCGATCAGGAAGGTGGGATAGGAGGAACGCGAAGCCTTACGACAGGAGGGATGAACCACGACGCAGTGGTCTCTCCATGCAAACAAGGCAAGATGAAACGGGAAAAGGTCACCGGAGGTTCTGTAGGAGGAGGTCTCCCATGATACACCCACGTAGTCATCCCCGTTCCTTCATCTAGATGGACTTCCCTCCCTGCTTTTCCCTTTTCCCCAATCCGATTATTCCTGTCTCCTGCCTCCAAGAATTTTTCCGCTCATGCATCATTCATGCTTGACAAATGTAATTCTAATTTCAAGGCAGGCAACAAGTGAACCCGATGTTCACTGCATGATCCCGACTTATGTATGTTAAAACGTGTTCTGTTGTGTCTGGGCTCTAGTGAGCTAAACAAAATTTCATTCTGTGCTCGACCAAAGCAATCAAGACTGGTAGACTCCATCTCATTTTCAAAATTTCTTATTTTTTTAATGAATGTAAGCAAATACATCAATTAAACTTCTAAAGAAGTTACCTTTGAAATACCTACACTTGCGATTCAAAGAAAGCCTTCAGGCGTATGAAAGTAAACAAGACTCGAGAGAAAATCACTTTTTAATATGATTATACATGTGTCCTTTAAAAATTAGGACTGGCAACGCAGCATTGAGAAATATGGTACTTCACGCAAGCACTCATGTTCATTACGCATGAGAAGTTTTAGTCATACATACCAGTTCTTGTCAGTTAAGAGCATTTTCTCTGACAGTTGTGATGATAGTTTTACTGGAAATGGAGCAACGGAGCATGTTTCACTACTGTTATGCATTGGATGTCTGCCACAGACGCATTAGCTGAAATGAATGTTGTATCTAGCAGTGATTCTCTATCTCAAACCCGATTCCTCAACAGCTGAGATCCATGTGGAAACGTCCATCTCCATCCCCGAATAGATTACATTTCACGAAATCTGCAGGCAAGGTGACTGAAAGTCCCTTGTTCTTTAGCATTTGGGAAACTTTTCTTGCACATTTCGTGAAGCCGGGAACCAGAATAAAAGTTGATGTGCATTATTCACCAAAAACTGTGCTGAGCATTGCGAGAAAATAAGGCCCGAAGAGACATGATTCCTGCATTAAGGTGATGCTCACTCGCAGATCGCTGGTGTAGTGCAGGGCGCTATAGCTACAGCTGTTCTACCTGTCTCTATTCCTTTAGCCTGCCCGCTTTATGTCCTTTCCTTAACCGAAGAGCACGCTGAAAGGACAACGACTTACCACCAATTTGGAGCTCAAAGCTGCCGTGAAGAAGCTTCGACACACGTTGGAAAATGGTGCGCGGTATGAATGGGATGGAGGGATACATCTACGGTTGCCAATTCTTCAAGTCAGACCTTGAGATCTCCTTTTTTGGGGGATTAAATCGGTTACGAAAGGTTCCTGACCGGGGGAAGACAACAGCCACGTTTCAGCCTCCGTCAGCTGTCATAGCCGTCGCCTAATACCTTCTAGTGGGCTTGAATTATTGCGAGGCCTCAGGACCAGAGAACAGCCTGAGATTGTCGTTTCATTGCCCCTTTACATCTCTCGAATAAATAATGAAACCGGAGAATCCTAATCTCCCGGCATCCTTCGCTAACTGGTCAGGAGGATGGGGATGACACTGGGAGAGTCGGCAACACTAGGTACATCACCGGAAAAAATGCATTGGGTTACAGGGGGTTATGTTGCAATAGCGTACGCTCACCAGAACCCTGGCATGTAAGGTACGACGGCAGTAAATTCAGCATTGATATTTACAAGGCAACTCCTTCAAGTACAGGGTGAGTCAATAATTTAAACTGTTTTCCTTCTATCATGTCTTTTGCAGTATCCCTAACGAATACAAACTGAAAATTGAAATGGCTGAATGTGCTCCTCAGGAAAATGTAGTTTGGTGTTGCTTTGGCGTTGGTGTCAGGGCTTAGCAGTGAAGAAAAAAAATTCTTTTTTTTTTTCCCGCGAACCTGAGGCGACAAATTGGAATTTCCCGGGAAGAATATGCAAGCGGACTAAGCGGGCCGCCCGCCCGCGTGTCTCCGTCCCCGCGAACCTCGTTCGCAGGTTCGCAAGGGTTTTCCTAGCCTGGGGAAATCCATCACAGACATGTAGCTTGAACACATCATGTGATCGCCACACCATTGAATCACCCTGTATTCAGTTACTGTAATCACCATTCCATTCTTCTTTCGATCCATCCTAGAAGAAAACCTTGAAAAGTTGACCAGGCAAACTGATCGTGCTTCACAAGAACGTTTTCAGAATATGGAGTGTTCCATTTGACATGTCCCTTCCTAGTCTGATGAATACATGATCCTAGTCCTGACCTCCATCACAGTCTTTCCTACAGATATGGGAAACAAAAGAACATTGAGACTATGGGAGCATGAGTGAGATGGGAAATCTTTATGATCCATCCCTTATTTCAATGGCCTATCTCACAAGAGACCCACTCCAGCTCCTCTTCTCTATCTATTCTGGGACCAGCTTTCATATTGCACACAGACATGAAAATTGAATGCACTCAATTGCTTCCATAAAGCAAACACTTCAGGAGGGAATCAAGTTTCAACTTTGTTTGAAAAAGTACATCAAATGAAATTCCAGGGGGGAAAAATCACTTTGCATCTGAAGATGTGGGATAAAATTTTGCATCAAGGCTCAATAAAAGCCTTCATCATCCAATTTTTGGGTTCCTGAAGCCTTATTCTTGACTTGTTCTTGGTTTCCATACATTTCCCCTACCTGCAAAGAAAACAAATAACTTGGTTGAGCTTGGGAAATTAATATATTGGGTTGGAAAGAAAGTCTTGCAACACTTTCTAAAACTATTAATAAAAATTTTCAAAGGAATGATGGGTGGGGCTTTGCATTTGTATATGCTGGAATGTTCTCGAAGCTTCTGCCCTCGGGGTCTATAAGGCGGCTTCTGCCATTAGTTGGCAGCCATGGCTCTGATCGAACAAGCAACTCTTCGCCCCATCATCTACTACGAGTTCCTCCAAGGACACTCTGTGAGAGCTGCCGTGGAAAACATCTGCGCTGCATTCAAGGGCAACATCATCCACTATTCCATGGTGTCTCAATGGTTGAAACACCTGGAAGCTGGTGACACGACCTTCGGAGATCGACCACGCTCAGGACGTCCATCTACAGTCGATGACGAAGCCCTGCGGAACGCCCTCAACGTGAAGCCGAATGCCACCATTCGCGAATCGGCAACTACACTTGGAGTCACCCATATGGCCATCGGCAACCATCTGAACGACCTCGGCTATCGGAAGGTTTACTTGACATGGGTCCCTCATCAGCTCAGCGACTCTGACAAAGCAAGCCGTGTCGGTGTCTGCGAATCACTGCTCCTTCGTCCGCACAGAAAGGACCTTCTGAAGGAAATCGTTACTGGAGATGAGAGCTGGGTCCTCGACGTCAACCACACTCGTAAGAGTCAGTGGCTTCCACGAGGAGAATTGCCGCCACACGAACCGAAACCAGGGTTCCACGAGAAGAAGGTTCTTCTCTGCTGTTGGTGGGATTCAGAAGGAATGTTGCACTATGAGCTCCTGCCAACCAGTACCACAGTGACTGCCGTTGTCTACGCTGCTCAACTTCAGAAGTTGGCTGGAGTCATTCAAAAAGAGCATCCCAAACGCGACAAAGTTCTCCTTCTGCATTACAACGCTCGTCCACATGTTGCAAAGATGACTCGCCAAACAATTTCGGAACTGGGCTGGGAAGTTTTACCCCATCCAGCGTATTCTCCGGACTTGGCCCCTTCCGACTATCACTTGTTTCGGGTCCTCAAGAATCACCTGTAGGACAAGGCCTTCGACGATCAAGCACAGCTCGAAAATGATGTCGGCCATTTCTTCGCTTCGCAATCGCCAGAGTTCTGGGCAAAGGGCATCGAGCAGTTACCCGTGTGTTGGGAACATGTCATAGACAACAATGGTCATTACATTGTAGATTGAAATTGCATTTCAATAAAGTTATAAAATTTTGAAAAATTTGCAGTGTTGCAAGACTTTCTTTCCAGCCCAATAATTATAATTAATTTAAGTGAATGAATTCCCACCTCTGAATTCATGGCAAATTAAGTAATTATGATGATCTAATTATATGCATCAGTAGTGGCAATGATCTCCCTTGATGGAACCTGATATCAAAGCTCTCCATTAAAGTAGGTGGGGCCACTAAATTAATATTGGAAAAATGCAACAAGGTGGCTGCAAATGTGGTCATTGTTCCTAAGAATTAGTAAGAATGTAAATTCAAATTACACTAGCATTCTGTACACTTCTAACTTCTGCAGAAGCTTTCAGAGATAGAGAAAATGTGCAGGGTCCATGTTTTGGGAAAATTCCGATTAACTGGTTAATATTCGTGAAATTCAAGAATCTATATTTTCAACAAAAGAAAATTTTCTTGCTATTGTATTTTGCAGATCATTAAGTGAATTGAAATATTTAATCAATTATTTTATACCTAAGAAATTATGATAGGTGAAAAATTTAAGGAAGCATTACTGAAGAGATTGAAATGTGAAAAATGAAAATAATATAGAGAATTTCTCCTAATCACAGACACTAAGAGCAACTTTTATAAATGAATATTTTCATTTAGTAACCTAGTACCCCCAGATCCCAGAGGAAGACTAAATTTGGACATATAATCTGTGAGAATATTTTTCACAAACAAAAGAAACCAGACCTGAGCAGCAGTGGTGGCATCCTCAGGTGTCTTATCATCCCGGATGTGAAGGAACCGAGGAAAGCGAAGGGAAATACCCTTCTCCGGATCCACAATCCCAGCTCCTGCCTTGTGTATGGGAGAGATGCTCAAGTCTGCACACTTGATCTCCCATACCTGCACTGGCTCAAACCAGTGATCAGGTGCAAGAGAGGAATCGTAGCGGTAGTATGACTTGGGACCTTCCATCAGATGCTTTTTAAAGAACTCTGTGTGGGTTGTCAACTGTTCATCTGAAAACCCTGTCCCTATCTGTTCCAACAGAATCATAGAAAAACACCCTTCAGGATTTCTACACTATGACTTCATTTTGTTTTGTGATTGGGTAGATTGGATTTCAGAATGAAAAGGCATGCAGAAACTGTGGAATTCAAAAAGACTAGGTAGGTCATGACAAAAAAAGGAAATGTTATCAAAGAAGGGTAGCTCAAAGAGGATGAATCATGCTGACCTTGCAGACAGTCTGAAACTCTTCATTGTCTGTGTCATATACGGCAAGGAGAAATCCTCCATAAGTCCCTGTTCTCTTCCCCTTCCCAAGGTAACCTCCTATTGGGACAACATCCAATGTATCTCCCACTCCTTCTAAATAATCCTTCTTCAGCTTTAGCCACTTGTGTGAGCGTTTGGCAATCTCATAGGAAGCCTCTGTCTCCAGTGTCTTCACCATCAGCCCCTCACAGTTTCCTGTGCAATAAACTCACTCTTCATTTCCCACAAAAAAAAAGACTGGTACAAAATGAAGAAATGCACTCATTTTTTTTTTTTTTTTACCTTTAACTGACTCTTCCAGAAATTCAGCAATGTCTTCAGTGTTCGTGGAGTCCATACTTTTTGCAAACACAAATTCTCCAGGGATATCTTTGAAGTGGGTTCTAAGAAGCTGTCTTCTCTCCAGAAATGGCTTCTTCACAAGTGATTCTCCATTTAGGTACAGGAGGTCAAATGCAAAGATGCATACATGAACCTTGATCTCACTCTCATTTGCATCCTGAATAAGAACACGCATCTTCATATTATCATATCTACAATCATTCCTCTCTATTCTTATAGATGAATATATTGACCTCAAAACAAACTATTGAGTTTATATTGAGTAATATCCTTACTGAATGACTCATACATACTTATGGCACGAATGTATTAAAAGACTGATAATCCTTCAGAACACATTAACCTTCTTGCACCCATCAGCAAATTTAATTTTAACAGCTTCAGCAAATTAAAGCTGCTTACAAGCAATACTCATTTACAATGCATCAACTGGCAGATCATTAAGTTACTTAGACTGGGTCAGCATATAATAAAAAAATGCACTGCTCACACTCGAACAGCAACTTCAGTGATGAGAGTACACAGGCTACTGCATATGTACTCATTCACTGTTAGCCATAGGAGAATGATCTGGAGAATAAGTTTGTGGGGTCTGTAAAAAGTACAAGATTTTGCTACCATGCAAAGATGCGAAAATTTGACTTCTAAAATGTCATGAGCTTTTTCAACTTTGACATCATCTAACTAAGGGAATTTTTCACATCTGGAAAGATCTTCATATCCAGGGTCCAAGCCCTGCTTAGAACTGGAATAAGTCCATAAATGGGGATAATTGAAACCTTTCTCTTTCTTGTGCTAAGGACTTGGAATGGTAGAATCATTTCCTTCTCCCGATCCCATGCCACTGCTTCTGAATCCAAGATGCAAGAGACAACTTGAGGATCATGATTCTCTTTCTCTGCAATCCAAGACTTGAACTTGGAAATAATGTCTGGGTACTTGGATGTGTTGTCCTCCTGGTTTCGACTGTAGATATGCATATCGCCACTCTCCAGGAGATGGATCTATGTAGAAAAATTAGAGAAAGATTGGTATAATGACCATTCCCAAATTTTGAAGTGAAAATTTATTGGGTTTATATAATCATTTGCAGTCAAGTAGAGAAGGCATTCTCCTTAGTAAGTCTGTAAGGTAGCCAACTGCTTAGCAATTTTAAAAATATTTTTGTAGCAAAATGAGGCAACATGAGAAAAAAACAATGGTATTCCTACCATCTACACCTGGTCAGAAAGCAATGAGGTATTTTGATCAAGCATAATTTTCCTGTAAAAATGAACTTCCAGAGATGTTCAATTTAGTTCACAAAATGTTATACATATAAATGAAATTCTAGTACTTCAGAACTGCCTTGATTTGGTTCCAACAAAATTTTCAAAGTGCATGGTTCATTTTGGAGATTTTGTTAAATAAATTCTCTGGAGTACCAGAAACAACCATCTGAATGACAGTCATTTCCCCCTCACTCATTTCAAGTAAAAGCATACTTCACTTCCATTATCCCAAAGAGCATTACTTTCATTGCCGCTTCTATACATTGTCAAACTTCATATGTGATCTGCCCCAGAAATGCTTTCCTTTCAATGATGAAAACAGGTGGTGACCTATGGGCATAGGTCTACTGCTATGTACAAAGCAAGATAATGTGAAAGGATCTTTGAGAAGTGCTGATTTGGATTTCAAGACAACTGAATTGAGTCAAATTATCAACCTAATGCTAACTATCAGCCTAACACTGCCCTTAAATTACCATGATGCTAATTAAATTGGCAGAAAGAATAAGAAAGTGTGATAACAAACTCTTCCACTCCCTGTCTCATTCCCAATAGTCTTACCTGTGCACGTTCCCCGTCATACTTGAACTCGCAGGTGAATTTGGCCCCTTCAAAGCGTGTTAAGACCTCACTCACACCCTTTGTTGGATGAGCCAACATGGGCTTCAGGGGGATTCCAGGAGTCAAGCGACAATGAAGGGGAAGACCCTCTATTCCCTCCTTCAGGAGACAGGGAATGATGCGATCATAAGATGGGCATTCACTGCCAACAGAAGACAAAAGTCCAGTCAAGACAAATGCTACATAATTAAAAAAAGAAGACATAGTGATGGAGAAGCAGACCAGTAAGTTGTCTTGAGTAGCAGGGCTGAAGACTCTAGCTTACTCTTGAAGCTGTCACTGCTTATTCCCTTGCTAGCATCTAGGATTTCTGGAGGGTAATCTTGGCCAGGAGGTGTCAGCACACATGATTGAGCCAGAGCCTACTCAAGACAAAAATGCAAGTGAAAACAAGATTTTCATTTTATGAAATGACCACAGTGTCAGATGGTGAGCTGACCTGAAGGATGGACTGCTCAGCAAGTCCAATGCGAAGTTTTCCCTGTAGGGAGCGGATGAAATATCGGGCCTCAGACTGCCGACAGGCTACAAGGAGACCTTGAATCTTCTCAATTTTTTTGTTGACCACCTAAGAAAAGAAAATGGAATCAGATATTCAAACTCAGCAAAGGATAGAGATGGAGGTAGTAGTAGTGTTAACATGGAATCCTGCATCAAATAGTTATTACCATAGGAATGATGCAAAAATATGATGACCCAGTGGAAACCAATTGCAACAAAATCCAACAGATATGTGTTTGAGCACTCACAGAGTTTCAAGGGAGAAGCCAGTCAAGGAATTGCTTTCAAAGCTTGGCAGACTTTTCCAACAGTGAATAAAAAATGGGAAAGGGTAAGAGGGGCCCATATTCCTGTAAATATTAACTCCATGCTCCTTTAAAGGTAACTCCCTAGTCCTGCTAGAGAGTGAAGACAAAAAGTTCCATCCCTCTAGGTTCTTATTTAACAAGAAGAGGAGCAAAAACAGAGGAATGGGCATGAACAGAAAACTCTCCATTAATTCTCTAACATCCTCACCTTTTCTTCAGCCAAACCATCCCTTTGGTATTTAATTTGCTCCCATCTAATAAAAAATCTCTCTGCTAGTGTAGAACCATTGAGCTTCCTTTCAGCATGTGACTGAAACTCTTCATTTTAAACTTTTCATTTCTTAGTTACAAAAACTTTAAATTCCATGCATCATAACCCAAGATATGCGAAAGCTAAAAGCAAATATTTTCCATGAGAGTAAACACTTACAGCATGCCCTGTCATCAGAGCTATTTCCTTGAGCTTCTCAAAGACAGTTCGAAGCATGAGTCTGGGAGGCTGGAACATCATCCTCTGATGGGACTTTGACGTCTCAGCCACAATACCCAAATCACCTTTGTTTCCAATATCTGCCTTGATTTTGTCTACAGAGCGACCTGTTGCTCGGCCAATCGCCTTCATCAGATGTGATTCTCCCACTCCCAACTCCTGTGCTGCATGAAGGTGCCAAGTGAAGTGAAATAAGAAGTGAGACTGGAGGCCACAAGACAGCAAGTATGGAAGAGGGCATGCATATATTCCCTACCTTCCCAAGCAGGGGCAATCTTATTTAGGCACATATATACACTTGGAAGAAGGTCCTCAGGTGTCAGCACCATCACAGAGCGAAAATAGTTTGCCAGAATGTCGATCATTTTCAGTCTAGAACTAGTGGCCTCAATAGCCTGCAGGGCTTTGGCCAAAGCCCAATAAGGGACCCTGAAGAGAGAAACCCAAAAATTATTCATGAAAATACGAGCTGAACCTAAAATGGATGAAGAGAAGAAACTCACTTTTCTCCTCTCTTCCAGCATGCATCTTCAATTGGATGATACTGTGCCTTATCTGGTTGATAATCAGAAGTGATATCATCTTTGGATTCAGGCTTTTCTGATTTCTTCTGGAAAAAGGGAAGTATGGCAGATGTTTTCTGTTCAACAGGTCTTGTGTCCTTACTGGAATTGGCATCACTCCTTTCATCCTCTTCAGATGTTCCTTTACTGTTCCTCTCCTGCCCATTTTTCTGTCTCCTTTTTCCTGCTCCTGCCTTTTTCTTTCCCTTTGACTTTTCACATGATTGCCCTCGAGCATCATCTTGTTTTGATTGGTTCTCATCATTCAAATTCTCCCTTTCTTTAGGAGTGTCTTCAGCATCAATGTCTGACAATTCTTTCTTGATAGGAGATTCATTGGGTGTGGTTACAGTTTCATCTGATACTGACGGCTTCTTGGAATGAGGTGTATCATTTGATTCCTCACTATCTGAATAGATTATTCTCTTCCTTTTACCTTTTCCTGATTTTGTGGCACCATTTGACAGAGTCTCCTTTGAACCTTCAGACAAAGATCCATCACTGCCAGGTGACTGACAAGGCTTCTCAGTGGCTTGAGCTGCCAACTCTTTCAATATTGCTATCTGTTTCTTTTGTGACTCTCCATTCCCCTTTGGAATGGTTTTTCTCGCTGCAATTAAAAGAAAGACAAGTTATTCCTCCCATTGGAGGACACAAAGCCATCAGAAGTGCAAACTCTAATAAAATCAATTATTGAAATTAAGAATATATCATACTGTGAAGAAAAAAAACCTGCTCATTAGCTGAAGTAATATAGGCCCTAATATGAAAGCTTGGAAAAGGGGACTAAAGAAAAATTGCAACAGAGCCCCAGTATGTCTAAAAATGTATTTACATACCTTACTCAAAAAGGATAGTGGCCAATATAGATAATTTTCAGCCCAACCTCAGATTCAGCAATGTCCAAGAGAATGAATGCAAGGGCACTAGGCCTAATGAAATTATGCAAGTGCCATTTCCACAGCATTTAATTTTTTTTCTCCTCTTCATCTGACAAACTCCTTTGGAGTATGTTCCCAGAGGGTAGGTCTACAAAGCATATAACATGCCCCATTAACAGTTACTCTTCAAAAACTCTAATATTTCTATAGGCCTATACATAAACATATTAGTTATGGGGGTTAGTGATATATCACAATACTAGACAATGTGCTAATAGGGCACTGGAGAAAGCATAACTATCCAAACCAACATTAAGAGATGCCACAGTTTCAGTCACATCCTTGTGTTTATCCCTCATGTTAATGCAATATTGTTGAAGAAAACATTCTTACATCATTCTTAGTGCAATATTTAGGTCACATTAATGTTGTTAGTATATCTTATGCCCATTCTGGTATTTCCACAGAAAAAAAATTAACCAAGGAAGTTCATTTCTCACCTGTTTTCCTTAGAGGTGGGGTACTAGGATCTGGCTCATTCCTGCATGAAATGGTTAAGATTTGGGAGTGGTCAAATGTTGATTATTTTGGCCCAAAGGCCTCTGTCTGCAACAATGTCTCAAAACTTAATTTTAAAGGCTGTAAGCTGCAGACCTAGAGCCCTTACGACTTGGTCTGCAGCCCTGGCCTAGAATGTGAGTGATAAAAAGAAGCCCATAACTAAGCCTACAATGAAATGGTTCTGACCTGTTTCTGTCCTCTGGAGGACTCAGAAGTGTTTTTTCAGCTTTCTGGAAGAACGACCTGGTAAGAAAGTAACAAAGTATTAGTAACTTAAGGTGTATGTCTCTTTTTGGCATGCACAAGACAGTTACAAATATCTGTCTTGCGCATGTCAAAAAGAGATGTAAATCAAATCATGGAACTAATGTGACTCGACATCAGACCCTCAAAACCTGTTTATGCCTCACTAACGTTAGGCCTGATAAGCATGATTGCCCAAACCTGGACCTACCACTGACTGACCTGATAGTTGCTTGAGGCATTTTTGTATGCCTGATGAACAAACGAAGGTGTCCAACGGATGAAAAAAAGCCTCTGAGTGCCACCGTGCAACGCTGCACCAAAATCGTACACCCGTTCCTGGGTTTACGCACAGAAACTCGCCTAACTCAGAGAACCTTGTTGGTTTGGCGCCCTCTCAGGCTTGGGCGATAGGTCACTCTCTCTCTCTCTCCAGCGAACGTTCACGAAGTTACAGGTTCACCGGCATTCGTTAGATGTCGTCATGTGTCGAATGAAGAATGACAAATTTTTCGTTGGAGACTTAGCGAGGTACGTTTAAGATAAGTCTGTCTGGAGAAAAATCCCTATCCAATGGTCTCAGACCGTCTCATGGAGTCGGGTCTGACAGTGCTAATGTGAAAGAACTGACTTCGACTCCCTTCCTGACCTTGTCGATGGGGATATGGGTGATTGGGGCTACATAGATTCAACTGCAATACCTTGCGCAGGATTTATCCGGGCATGGTACATCCCTTGGGATCGCTAGAGACTGCGGTGATCTTCGATCGATTGCACCCCATACCACCATCCGAACGACGTTATATGTCATCCGACTGAGCGAAATCTGTCGCCTCGATGTAAATCTAGTTAAATCAACGATCGAAATGAGAATAAAGTGATTCCCGCTTCTGCCACAGGAGGATGCAATCAATGGAAATTCATTAATCGTCTGCGTAGAGCTACGAAGGCTGCGCTCTGCGATCGCGCTATCCGAAAACGGCACGACCTGAGACAAGCGGATGATTCGGGTTCAATTTGTTAAAATTCGGTAGAACGGCATGTCATGCGATATGAGGAATCTTCGTCACCGCGACTAAATGAGACGTGACGAAGTGTAACATTCCCCGACTCGCATGGCACGAGAACACGAGCGTACAGACGCTGTGCGCGAAGCAGCGGCGAAGCAGCAGGTCTTCCGGTGCATCCTCGCTCACAGCTCCATGCAAAATGTTCCCAGATGGTGCCGTAGCTGGTTTGAATGCGGACGATGATCTCCTCGGATCTCTCGTTTAAGACTCACTCGGACCTTAGATCTGATAGGCGAGGCAAAGTTTTACCTTTTGGCTGCCGAGTAAGATCGAAACTTTCTTTAAATCTCTTCCGATGGCGCAGAAGCTTTTCCGTGAAGACGGGATCGAAGGGAGACTTCATTCCTTTACATCGACGGTAGATCCGAGGGAAACATCTCCACGTGTCTAATGATAGCGTCGAGTGTGAATTTCTACGGAAATTTTTGGTCCATGGCTCCTTAGATGTCGAGAGCCGTAATCATTGCCAATGAGTGAACGGACCTCGGATGCTTCTGAGACCGCCGACTGCTTCTTCTCGATGAGACTTGACGTGCGAAGAGGATAAGGTTGACATTTCCGAGTCTCGCTCTGGAACGGGCTTCACGGCCGATCCTTCCCTTTCGCTTCAAAATCGAGACTTCCGTTAAAAGGTGGATTTATGCAGAGCGGAAAACGCGAAACGGAAGCCAAGCTGTTACCGCAAGCGCAAAACGGAAACTGCTAGCCGCAGGCGGACACCGTCGGCGGAAGGAATTCCACTTCCGTCTCGCCAAAAAAAAAAACTCGCAAGACTTTTCAGACTCGAAGAAGTCGATCGTGGAAGCGCGGAGACGTCTGCTTTTATGGCACGTTAAATGAAAGGAACGTTGGGGCTAGGTAACGAAGAGGAATCCGTGGGGAAAGATCGGGAAAGAGTTCGGTCGTTCGTGGGAGTCCAAGTCGCTCTTCGCAAAAATCTCAATTCGGCCAATTTGTCCAATTCCGCCAAGATCGAGCACTGCGCTTCCTTTGAAAATGTCTCTATCTGTGCTCGATCAGCTGACGATGTTGGAAGAAGCTTCGTTTTCGTTTCTTTTCCCGGATAAAATAATCGGAATCTCTCCAACCGAATATCCTCCATAAGAAATAGCGTTCGATCAGGCGAAAGCGACGGCAGAGAAAGAAGTCAGTTCGACGAACTTCCGCATTTTCCGCCCTGCATAAATTCACGTCCCGAGACGTGATTCCGATGCGTTTCACCGTGTGTTTGCGCACGTCAGCCGAGCAAAGAGCGCGGCGACAGTCGACCGGTCATCCAGTCATCCAGTCGACCAGTCATCCATCGCAACTGGATGACTCTGAGCATTCTCCGTCTTCGATTCAGGAAACGTTAAACGGTCGGATCGTCACACCGGGCGCGCCGATCCATCGGCCGAGTATCGTCGTCTCTCACGCGCCGCTGCGTCGACAGATCTCACTCGAAGACGTTACCGTTTCTCGGTCGAGTAAAAAGAATGAGATTCTGCGGTGTGGATCGAATGCGAAGTGAAATGGTTCCACGATGCACGGCCGCCACAATGGTGGCGGTCTTGCGTTGCGTTATGGCCCATTGTTCCTCGAGATGAAAACGCGGCTCTTCGAAGGTCTGCCCAAATGAATCCGGCGTGATTGCCACGATGAGCGCAACGCGGGACGACGATAAATCACACTCGGCCGAACCATCGGTCCGATATTCCAGGCCGGCCCCATCCAGATGAGATCCACGCATTCGAGTGCCTCCTTCGGAACGGGACGGACGAGTGTCGGCCCGTGCGGGAAGGAGCGGCGACTCTTCGTTCTTCGTCGAGGAACGGAGAAAGTGAAAAAGTTCACTACCGTCACGCCGCTTCCCCCATCCATCCTTCATCCATAACACATGGGCCGAAAGCCGTATAAATACAAGCGAGTCTTTTGTTGACACTTCTGGCCGAGACGCGTTGCGTATTCCGTCGGTCACGTGGCATTTTTTTGTTGCATCGGAAAAGCGTCTCATCGTCCCTCTATTCGCTCTTTCGAGTCCTCTTCGAGCCTTTTCATCTCCGTTCTAAGCAATCTAATCTCCTTACCTCGAGATGAACACGAAGTCCTTGAGGATTGAATGCCTTTCTGCGCTGGCTTCGGGCGGAATGACTCGTACGTCTTCTTGCGGGGCTTACGAGAGCTCGTATTCGATCTCGATGCGATCTTCCCGTTCGTGTTTTATGACCTTGCGTCGGTGATTAATTCGACGAGGGAAACAGTCGCCACTTGTCGTGATTAAACCGACATCTACCCACGGGGGCAAATGCATCGATTTATGCGCTTCTCACATAGAAGCCTGATTTTGCCACGAGATGAACTCATTTCGATTTGTGAATGTTATTTCTAGATACAATGTTCATATAATTCTTGAGATCTGTCCTACTTCGATTTGGTTTCAATAGATTTTTTTTTAAGTTTAAAGTTTAATATGGAAGACAGTGATAGTAAGGTTAGAGGGGAAAGCTCCTGGGTCACGATCCTGTGTTCCATCGTGTTGCGATACTATATGATGCGGTACTGATGCGGTACGCAAGATGCTCTTGGCCCATTTCTGCGTCATGATGTGCATAAGCGAGGCGGAGGGGTGCAACAGAGCAAAGGGGGGCAAGTGCCCCCGCCACTTAAGAAGATAAAAAGGGAAAAGATGCATGACGTGCATGTGACCGGTAT